CTGTCTCTAGCCCTTCACACCCAAAGTTGTATGTTTAGCTGTCTGAGATGAGCATCTGACCCGGAATATCAGTTTAATTTTCAAAACAACGGGTCCCTGGATATAATATGAGTCAGAATCTCCATGCAGTGATTAAAGAGAGCTACAGAAGACAGAGAGGGTCACAGGAAAGCTTGCAAGAAGAAACTTGCATGGACGGGGGCGGAAAAGATCCATTTTGGTACTTGGTACCCCTGTTGTCAGGCAGGTGAAACAGCAAACCGATCAGAGAGGCAGTGAATAACAGGACAAGACAGCCTGCAGGGGCTTAGATGAGTAAGGGCCTTTTTGTTTTGTCAGCAAAGGATTAAAAGTTTTGGGGGGGTTGTGACATTAGCTCAATTGGAATGTGCCGTTGTACAAAGAAAAGCCTGTACCTGGCAGTTTTTTAGTGGCGGAGGCAATCAATATGCCTCAGCACCGCGAATGCAGATGTGCATCCCCCTGGGGGAGGACGTACGCTCGTACCTCGGAAAGGAAGGCCTGCTCACACAGCCCTGACGTGGTGAAAGTCAGGGAAAGGCAGATTTGTCACAACAAACGAATGGTAACAACAACTAACGGAGAAAGAGGGGAAAAAAACAAGGAAACAAAAAAAGAAAGGAGAAGAGTGATGGCTAAGGGGAGAAAAGAAAGCTGAAGGGGAACAATGCCCCCCCCCCCCAGGATGCCGCTTATACACCAGTGTTCCCCTGTCTATGGGGACCCATGGATGGTCCATATTTTTGCTCCATCTCAGCTCCCAGCCAATAAAGACACCGAATACCTGGTACAGGTGTGTTGGAAACTGAGAGGGAGAAAAAATGTGGGCTGTCTGGGGATCCCACAAGACAGTTTTGAGAAACATTGCTCTAGACGGCGATGGCACAATGCGGCAGCCTTGCTGCTCCAAAGCATCTCCTTTTCTCACTCATCACCCAGAAATATAAAAACTGTGAAAACCGACGAGACGACTGCGGCACGATGTATTAATCCGGAGGCCATCGTCCGACTTGAAGCAGACTTTAGTACATCAGTACTGTCACAGCAGACAGGCACCGTGATGATGGACATTTCGTGTCTGGCTAGAGGCCGCATGTGCAGACTGTCCCCACCGTTCATGCACCGAGCTGTCGGCCGTTATCTGTGCTCCCTGTCTTTTCCTCAGGTTAAAAACAGAATTGCATCTCTGCGGCTCTCAGTGCTGGAGATTGTGCCACTTTTTACAGTGTGTGAAACGTGGGATTGAGGCAGCTTCCTGTCCCATCTGCCAAACGCCCAATCTATTACCAGCAGGACAATAGGAAAAACACAAGCATCCTGTCAAATCCCAGCTGTTGGACCATCATGCACGTTGGTTTAAAACAAACAGAAGTAAATAAATAAATACTCTGCAAAGCTGTCTTTGATACCTTGCCTCAGTGTGTAGGTTTGTACTTGACTAGTAGATTTTCTAGGAGAGCCTGGTTAGGGGCCCTGATGGAGCAAAGAGTTAGTCTCTAGTTACAGAATTTAGAATTTAGTGATTAATTGTCATTGTTGACACACCTCAGCACTGTGCACAACAACGAAATGTGTTCTCTACATTTAACCCATATGTGACAATGTGACATAGCAGGGGGCAGCTAATTCAGCGCCTGGGGAGCAGCGCTTGGGGGCGGTACCTTGCTCAGGGTACCATGCTGGTCGGGGATTCGAACCTGCAACCTTTCAATCACCAGTGCGCTTTCCTAACCATTAAGCCACCACTGCCCACAAAGACTGTGTCTCACTGTATTGCTCAGGCTGCACTACAGTGTCTATTTACGGGCACGATCACACTACTGAGTGGCACGGGGGCTTTGACCTGCTCTGTTTCTGACCTGGGCCGGTTCACCCCTCCTTAGACGACCTGGTGGTCCCGGGCTCCCCCAGGAGCACCATATCGGTGCCGAACTTAGTGCGGACACCCGATCCACGGCAGCCCAGACCCCTGAGCTCAGGCGGTCCGCCAGCCTCACCCTCCCAGTAGCTTGGATGGCAGGCACACGCCACCGCACCCGGCAGTTTTAGGTCAGTTACAGGCAATCCAGTCCTGAGCAGTGTCCTTAGCTCTTCCCATAATGCACTGCAATAAAACCCCTGACGGCAGCCAGAATACAAAGACCTGACTTGAGGGCAACAGCGGTGGTGGTGGGGGGGGGGGGGACTGAGATCCTGATAGATATACCATCAAGCTTGTAGTTTTCCCTGGGTTGGGAATGAAAAAGGAAGAGGGCAGGGTGGAGCGGGGTCGTTGACCCTGAAGGTCAGACGACTGATGCTGTCAGACTGTCGCCCAGGAAGTGAATGTGTTCTGTCATCTATCGGTCAATCATTAACACAGCCTGCGTCAGCGGGGACAGTCCACTGATAGCTCAGCGATTTTGGTAAAGAAAAAGACAACAGCACAACCCCCACCCAAAATCCTAAGGGCACAAAAACACAGACAAGCCTGACAAGTCAATACCTCCAAAACACGGACAGGCTTTTCATCGTAATGACCTCTGCTTCTCCCAGGACAGTGCGCACTCATCACATTCAGGGAATTCTCTCAGTCCCGAAGGGTACCAAACACATATGCTAGCTATGTCATTGCATGGCAGCACCACTAGGGGGCAAAACTTCACTTCTCCACACAATACCGGTTCAGCGCACTCGCAGAAGGCGCACCCTTTATTTAAACAATCAGCTCTGGCTACCAGAACACATTGTCTGGATCCACCATTCAGAATGAGCAAGGCAAATAATCATAATTACACATCAGCAAGACCTTGCTGCACAGCTACAGTATCACGCCGAAGTATCTGAGGCCTCGTAGGCACATTCGGAGAAAACGGGATCTGATCCACATGGATCAGCGGTAGCTGAGCAGCCACACCCGCCACCTGCGGTCACCGCAAGACGGTCGCTCAGTGAGATCTGTGACCTGATATCGAGTGTCTGATTGATTGTGACAGACAGGTGCGCTCTCATATGGGGGGGGGATGGGGGATGTGTCGGGAGTGCTGCAGACTCCACATTCAAACCAGTCTGGATCGATTTCAGAGCAGGAACCTGACCAGAGGCGATCTTTCTCTGCGTCTGAACGGCGGCGGTGGTGCTGGGCACAGGTCGAGCCGTTCCCTGCGGCCGCAGTGATGAATGCGACATAAAGGATCTCATGTGTTCATGGGTGTCACCCCTATGGGGGGGGGGCTGAGCATGATCGATGGCCGCCTGGGAAGCGTAATCTATGCCGTCATCCAGCTCCATGACCCTCTTTTCCTCAGGCTCTCTGCAGGACACCCTAGGGGGCCTAGAGAAATGGCCAGGATGCAGTGAGGGGCAGCGAAAACAGCAGCCATCAGTTGACAGGAACTGGGATAGGATGACAGCGATTAGAGCTACAGAGGTCAGATTTAAAGGGACAAGGATGCCCCTGGGCACCTCCTGTCTTCCTTTTCTCTGACGATAACCACGGAAATGTGCCTCGAAGGGCCACAAACACTATGGTGATACGGGAACAAAGCCCACCATCAGAAGCTTGCAGGCTTAAATCCAACCGACAGTTTAACTGACCTGTTTAACCGACCCATGCACTTAACCTCAGTTTGCTCAGGTGGGAGGACAGGCAACGCGGTGTTGCCGTATAACTCAATCAAAGCCTTTGAGCTGTTAGACTAGCTGCTCTGTCGTTCACACAGAACAGAAAAGCCGGATCCTCAGAATTTAGCTGATAAACCTTATCTTTGGTTATATATTTTTTAAAAATGGACAATATTTAACTTCCCATATGGCAGCTTTTTGAATACCTGACCGACGGAGAATGCAGACACCAAGAACAATACCCTATTTGTTTAATTCTGCCCACCTCTTGTGGATGGAGTGGGGGGGGGGGGGTATGCCTGTGAAATGTCCGTCCAGGACCACCCAGAACCCGGCTCAGTATTTGTTTAACCGGCAGAACATTCCAGCAGCCTATCACAATCATGCATTGCGTGTTGCCCCTGGCAACGAACCGCTGAGCTACGGGGGCTTATTGGGACCTCCGACGTCAAGCAGACGGGAATGGCTCTTGAACTGGGTTGCCATATCCCAGAATCCCCTGCTGTTCTGCAAGGTGCCCTTCGCACAGCTGGCAGGTGGACGGCACAGCGATGTGGACACTTGCATGTTACAGGGAGAGGATCTGCAACACCGAAACACACAGCTTCAGTCTCAGAGCAACGGTTAACTCTAATCTCTGCTATAACGACACGATTAAAATCACTTTAGCTCAAAAAAGGCAAGGTCGCCTGCTGCTGGTTTAACTGAAGCAGCCTGATTTCCCGCAGACACGTCAACGAGACTTAGCCAAGATTCCCACGGTTCTGCACCGCACGTGCAGCTCTATGGACGGGCGTGTTAATAATGGATTCTCACAACACATCTGACTAATTAGGGCCCCGCTCCGTCATCTGAAGGGCCACTTCCTTCCTTCAAAATGCTTCACGCACACACAATCGCACACGGATGTGCACACACACCATTCAGCGGAGCAGCAGTGACCCCACCCAGCATACTGTTCTCAATCCCCAACACGGATTTTCATTTAACACTCCTGTATACTGGGGGGAAAAAAGGCCCAACCTGTCCAACCTGTGATATTACCCCAGATGGCACTTTTCAAAAGTCCTGCCCCCCGCACACACTTCTCCCCGAGCAAACCTGTGTGTAAGAGACACAGCTGGACCGCGGACACCATTAAAATCTCATTAATCTCATCCTGTCTAGTTACGGCAATCCAGCTGTTTGCAAAGCATGATCTGAGCAATCCAAACACGATCACCTCAACTGTAATTTGCCGAAAAATACGTTCCTTGTTTTCAGAATTGTTGTTTTTTTGCCTCCCCCCCCCCTCCCCCCACCCCACCCCCCAAGGTTCTATTCACCACATGTCCACAACTGCGTCTCCGACATAATGGAGCAATTTTATACGAACACACAGATACAAACACCATTTATGCAAATACAGAGAACAAAGGGAGGTCTTTAAAGGCAGACGCATGTTTTATGCATGCAAAAATCAAGGGATGTTTTGTAACAGAACTGACATCCATATTACATCAAGCTAAACCATCAGACAGAATGCTGCACAGATTCCAGCTCTCGACCACAGAACCGCTGGTACTGTTCCTATATGGTGGTCTACACACATATATTTTTAATCATTTCCTACAAAACAAAGCAAAAGCACGCTCCCCAAAAAAATACAACCTTATGCATATAGAAAAACATAATCATGCTAACAGCCACAATATTTCTGACTTCAACTAATCTGTTGAGAAATTTAAATTAACCTGTGGGCTTGTTTATGAACATGAACTAACATTTAACTTAAAACCTACTGCCTTTAAATGTCCTCAGAGGTCAGTTAAATGTGCAATTTCTCCAATCATAAGAAAAACAAAAGTTGCAGAACCGGTGGTTTTACATACTGACTTCTTAAATTATGAAAACCCACAGGCTTTGATGATTATGTGAAAGTCAGGTCACTGCACTTAACCACCTTTTGCCCTCCACGCCCAGAGCAGAAAAACTCATCCCTCAGTTGAAAAAACAGCCGGAGATTTTCTAACAAAATGTCAACAAGTGGTTTATCGGAGTCATACGGGGAGCAAATTTGTTGGCTTTAAGCACCAGCCGGCCTGGTGCCTCTTATGTCTCACGCAACCAATAATTCATCATCATGGAGCGTGAAGTACCCTTCGAAAACAAATAATAAACACATATCACATATTTTGTAAGGGTGACGTGCAGACTAGGTTCCGCATACAGGGGGAGATTTTTTAAACCTGTGTGGCGCCTTCAGCTACAAATGAAGCCATAAAGCTATTTGCTGCTCACATGTTGGATGAAAGCCTATTCAGACGCCTTACAAAAAGATGCAAATTTGGGAAAGGCGTCGAGCATTCGACTTCTCCGTTCTTCCTGTTAATCACGCCGTTTGTCCAAGACTCTCCTGCAGAGCGGCCACAATGTCTTGTAAGATATGGTTTCTGTTTTCTTTGGTTACCTAGAAAGAAATGGGAAATGCTGAAATGTATGCCTTGTCCAACATTGAATCCCATGTACTGTCCTTGTCTTAGAGTGCCTGGCTGGATCAAACCCCAGTATTGGTTGGACCAAACCATATCCTTCACTACCTGCGCATGACTGGAGGTCCTCACAGAGCAAAGTCAGAATGGCCAAAAAACAGAGTGGAGTGGTTGGTCGGTCATGTTCTGATACACATATGAGGTCCGGTGTGATCAGGAGCCAAAGCCTAACGCTGCATGACCCATATGAGCTGTCAACATCCCATAGAAGCGTCAGCCATTCAGACGTTCAACCAACCAGCTCCCACAAACCCACATCTGCAACTGCCAGCCCATGAAATAGTCAGAAGTGGCCGCCTGGTCTGTCTGCAGAGGAATGAGGATATGTGGTGAAACACAAATGCTTTTTCACTCCATTTCCCTGACAGCTATCTTGCCCGCAGACATCTGAACAGAGATGAAGTTGTTTGTTCACTGCTGGTAAGAGACTTCATGGGTCTCTCCATAACAATCGTGTAAATCTGCAGCGGGAAAGCCTGGAGGGTCAGATTTTTGATGTTTTTTGGCTGTACCTCAGCTCTTATTCGCCTTACTAGAATTAGTACCAGGACAGGACCTAAATTGACTTGAAGCTCCATATCGGGTGCCAGCAAAATCTCCAAAACCCTGTAGATGCAGAGACATTCATGGAAGTCCATCACAACCTAATTCCCCACTAACTGTATTTTGACAGAATGACCCTTGATTAAATGTGAGTCCTGTTATCGCAAAATCAAGCTCTGAAGAACATGGAGACATCTTATAATGAGCAAAGCTCTCTAATGACACACTGGAATTTGGGCTTTCTACATTTCGTAAACCTGAAACCCCCAAATAAAATTAGAATTGAGCTATGAACCTCTGACCACTGTGGCAGCATCACATAAGAAAAACATTCATTATCAAAAGAACACCATTGACTGACAACCTTGACTAGGGACTTGTCACTGACTGTTTTGTAGCCTATGCTGTACCTGTGCACTACGATGACAAAACAATGACCATTTCTGGAGATCTGGCTCAAAATGCATTAACCATCAAAAGCCCAAATAACCTTCTAACACTGGATTAAGGCAGACAGTGGAAGCTGCACAAGTGCCTTTCTGCTGTTACTGCCCACAAAATACTACACATTTAAACAGCTACATAGGAGATCCGCAGGAGAAAGGGTAGAATCGAAGGTGCTCACAATGAAAAGTTTGACATCCGACCTGCTCCGCACCTCCTCCACCAGCCCCAACGGCCTGCCCTTCGGAGCAGGAATGGTGCCAAGGACGGGCCGTCCAGAACTGCCCAACATCTGCCTCACCGCCCGGATGAAATCCTGGCTGAAGAGCTCCATCTTCCCGATCTCGTCGATCACGAAGACTGCCCGGCCCCCGGGGCTCGCCTGCGGGGGTCCCAAGGAGGCGTGGAAGGTCAGCGTGGACGGGAGGACTGACAGACAGCGTCATCACCACATGAGCACATGACGGTGGAACAGCGTGACCGTGAAGCATTAGACCGTAACAAACACGCTGCGCACTCCACAGACATTAAGATATGAACACGTCAGTGCTCACCAATGGCATGACTCAACACAAACAAAGAGGGAACATGCCACGTACGCACAGGCAAATGAGTCACCCCTTAGAAGACCCCACTCCCATCACCACCACTTAAGAGCTCAACCCCGCATTAATCACTGTGCAATTTTCTACTGTCAAGATGTCTTACTGCCTGTACATCACTACTGCCCAGGATTAACGGTGAAAAGAAACGCGTATATAACATGTCTGTGAATCACCCGAAAGCAGCTCTCACTTTATAAAATAAAACTCCTAAAAGCTGGATAAAAGCTCAAAGTGCAGGTTGTTTGTATACCGGTGGCTGAGTTTTTTTTTTTTATTAAACACAGGGAAAATGTTTTTGGAGGCTGAGGTTAGTAGAGCTTCTGTCCACACCCAACAGTGACTGGTGGGTATAAACATATCACATTTTAAAATATTATAATAGTACATTTTTCCGAACAAGACAGAAAATGTGTTGTTTAACGACTATAAAATTTTATTTCATTATTTATTTTATTTTTATTTCAAAGTTACTTGTTCCATAATTTAATCTCAAAAATAGAGGAGGTTTTACCAACCAGTCCAATAATAAAATGTTGGTACTGTTTTCTGTCTGTAACGGTGTTTCCCAACCCAGTCCATGGGGATTCCTAGACAGTCCACATTTTTGCTTCCTCACAGCACCCAGCCAATCAAGAGCACCTGGTAAGGGTACAATGGGAGATGGGAGGGATCGAAACTGTGGGTACCTGGGTTCAGAAACACCGGTCTAGAATTATGGCAAGTCCACGACAGGCAAGCTCAACCGTGGTTTTACTGCTGGGATGGTCTGAGGGAGAGAACCTAGAGTGGACTTACGTTTCTGAAAAGTGGAAGTGCCAAGCTTTCAAAAGACACCAGATCTACCAGATACTGGCCAACCCTGTGCTCGCGTCGTCCTGCAGACGAGCCAGACGAACACCTGGGGGAAGCAAGCACAGCGTGAAGGTCAACCAAGCTGAAAGGAAAGCTCTGTCGGAGACAAAAACAGTAGCAAAGGAGAAAGGGAAGGTACCCAATTCTGGAGAGGATCCCTCTCTTTCCTGTCACAGAGACAACATCAAATCCAACTCTTCTCCCTCCTTCCCTGACCTCCTCGGTGTAAAAGCCTTCAACAGCCACTCCAGATGATGTCAGGGCTTCACAGGCCTTCTGGACCAAGGTGGTTTTACCCACACCTAAATAAAACAAACACGCCATAAAAAAAATATATATCACATTTAATGCAGTCACATGGCTGTTGTACAATTTTATCCAAGATGAGTCACATGACTTAGAATATCCAATTTTGATATATCGGCCCAGCTGTATATTTTTACTGCTGCCTGGGAGATGCTCCAGTTAAAAGATGGACGGGCGGGCGGACGAGCGGACTGATACTTTTACTTACATACTTCAGGTTAAATAACCAGGAAGTTTATTTTAAAGACACAGATGACTTTTTCATCAGCCACTGTATAAAATGTTACTGGAAACAGCAAATACTGTATTTATCAACATTGTCTGCCATACACTAAAACTAAAAATAAGTCATTATTTTGTTACTGCTTATTCGTGATGATGGCAGTGTTTGCATCTTAGACCTGATATCAGGAAAGGTCACCTGTCAACACAAGTCGACAAATAGAGAACCTAATTGAAATATTTCAGATAGGAATCGACACCATTTCTGGATGGAATCCGTGCAATCCAGACCACTGGTGCCGGCTACACGGCGGCACAATAAACAACGCCTGTCCGCGCTGGCGGCACGCTAATCACGTACTGCTTCCAGAAATAACTTTCAGCTGAACTGTCATTTTCCAGCATCAACGTGTCATAATGCTGCCTTTGATTCGCCTGAGAGGGTCCAAAACGGAAACCAGCATCGACCACAAGTCAAAAGGGAGATAAACCCAGATCACAATGCTAAGATACCAATGTGACAGCGATAGCAACAGTACAAAAACACTTTCCGTGGCTGCCGTCAGAGCTGGGGGAGAGACAAGCAGATAAGGGAACTAAAAGGATTCCAGTCTGCGATTATTGCACAACTCATGTCTACAGTTTACAGCTAGTGTCAACAATGAGCAAGGTATGATTGGAAGCCAGAGTATAGTCACCTGTCTTCCAAACTGAGTGGATTTAAATGTTAAAAATATTTAAACTTATAGTATTTAAGATTACAAATGCAAGGTTATTAAGCAAGTTCACTTAGCTTTTTTTCTCCATAAGGAAATTACATTTGTTACAGGTCACTCACTGGAAGCTTAGCCTAGTAGCACTAAGTTGGCTGAGTGACAGCTGCATGCTTGTTATGTGTTATGCGTCTTTTGTCACTTCTGGACAAAAGCATTTGCTCAGTAAATGTAAAGATTTGAAATATCTTAGTTTCTTGTTGTGCAGATGGGTTTTCTCTGACTCTGTCAGGTTCCCTTTCCAAAGGGAATGGCAGAGGTAGCCAGTAACACTGATGGCGTAGAAAAATCTTTTTGTCAAGAGTGATCCAGAATTCTCTAACTCGTGCAACTGATCACACTAGCAAATAACTGCCCACCAGTCTGGTGGGAATGAACATGCATTGGTTTTCATTACTGTGGTGATATCAGAGCCTTTCGCACAACACACAGGGCACAATGTAGGGCACATCTGAGACAAAATGCCAGTTCATCACAGAAAGCATGCAGTCATACTCCATCAAATGACAGGGCCAATTCAGAGACACCTATCTACCCTGGCACTGTTGGAGCAAACTGTGAAATAAGCTGGCAAAGTAACACACAAACATAGGGACTGTATGGACTCAGGACACAGGAGCAGAACGATGCCTTTTCAGGTGTCACAGGTCAACAGATACATTCTCCCTATGTAGCGGCACACAATTGTTCCATACTTTGATAAAGGCAAATACAATATTTGTGAGCTGGATTTAAAGGATCTTTTACAGGATTTAAAAAAATATTTCCATACCTATTTCAGTTATCTTCCCTCAACCTGTCAGTCTGATTAGTGAGATGTCTACTGGTCCTTAAACGTCCACTCCAATGGACCATCGTTAACATTAATACAACGCTATTAACCGCGACATATTCAAACCCCACAATAATGTTAGTGGCGCTCGCGCTGGTAACTCTTGAAAAATCGAGCGCGAGCGAAGTTGTCATGTCTTAACGCTGGCTAATAGCTGAAGTCAAGTAATAAACGTAACCGACATTATATCTCTTTTGGTTAATTAATCAGAAACAAAATCCCAAAGAGCAAAATGAATTGAAATAAGTCTGGTGCTACAGCTAAAACATGTTAACGTCACTCAGAAGACTCATACACGTGCATACATCTTCTAAAAGCTTATCCTGGTCTTGGTTAGGGGGAATCAAACATGTGCGTTCAGTAAAGCCTGGGTACAGTCTCTCCATAAACCACGGGAGGATCGTATTTACCAGGGGGTCCCGTCAGAAAAACGTGCTTAAACATTCCCGTCACCCAAGTCGCTGCCGCCACTGCTCCTTCCCGGAAGTGCAATGCGCGGCCGCACCGGCGGATCTATCGGGGGCGCGCGCGTACACATTTTCCTCGTGCTAACTGTTGTAGGTTGTATTTTTCTTTTCGAATACGCAGGTTAAGGATTTTCTCATAAGTACACTATGATATATCTCAGCTGCAGTATTGAGTACTTCGTGTGTTTTATAGTTACAATAATAGGAAATCGTTTTCCAAGACATATTTCCTAAATTACTGTCAACTCCTTTTCCTATGAATTGTTTGATTATTGCAAGTAGTCACGTGCAATTATGTACAAGTATGGAACAATTATTTTAGTTTTCAGGTACCAAACTTTAAAATTGTGCATAGTAATATATTGTATGTATATTTCAATGATAAAATTCAACGTTTGTATTATTGAAATTAAGATGCTCAGTATTCTGTCAGCGTGAACTATACATGTTTAATCAGAAACAAGCTTTCAAATCAAAACAAGGAAATTTAATTATTTACAACCCCTTAGATAATTTAGGCCAGTACCATACCTGTAGTATTTCATATCAATGTCCTTGAATTCCATCAGCATAAAATAGATAAATAGACACTTGTAGAAGATGAGAAATCCATTACTTGAGACTTGGTGTATTTTGAGTAAAAATTCCAACAACTTAATCTCAACAGTACATTCACCATATAGTTCTATTCATATTATACTAATTCATTCGGGAAAATGCTTCCATCACAAACCAGAAAGCAGATTTCTTACAGTAATAAAATATCTAATAAAACAATTCAGTATCCATGTTTATTAACGCAAAGACAATAACTGAAGTGATGCTGGTCATCAATTTAATATTTGTAGCAAGGGCTTGTTAAACCGATCAAATACAATGACCACAAACAAACAGGAAGAAGTCAAAACAGTCTCAAAGAGTATATCCTGGGAGCTTATTAACTATGAGTTCTGAGACATGGTGGTATTCGCTAACAAATCCCAGCGAGCCAAGGGCATCTTCCATTTCCTCGTCTTCGAGATCAATTGAGGTCACCTTTGGGTCAGGTGAGGGAATAGATTCCGAATTGTCAGTGGGTACGGAGGAGTCTACCATCGATGGGGTGTCTCTGGAGCATCTGGTGAGCTGGGTGCCGGACCGCTTGAGAGGAGAGATAGAACGTTCCGGAGCAGCAGTGGAGGGAGCCTGGACTTCCTGTTGAGGTCTTAACCTACCAGAGTGGGTGGAGGCAGACATACTCTCACCATCATCCGATGAGCGGCTGACAGGGAATTTCTGTATCCGGGGTTTTAAGACATGCGTGCCTTGCAGAGACCTCTTGGGGGAGATGTCAGCTTTGACGGGGACAGGAAGGGCTGCTCTTCGACGACTCTGAGAATCACTGTCTGAATTGAAACGGTCCATTAAGACATCCTGTCTATCACTGTCCAAGACAGGATCAGGGCTGCTGAAAAGGTCCGGAGAACAACTTTCACTGAGATCAAAGCTATTAAAATCATCTGGATACTCAACTGGCTCTGGATTGCTGCTCTCAGAATGAGAGTATCGTGGATCTGGGCTGCTAACTTTGCCCATCTTTTCAGCTAAGCTGGTACTATGAACTTTAGTTGGATGGCCAACACCACTGTGAGACTCCTCTTCATCACTGGTGTCTGAGTGCTCTCCCAGTACAGACGGAATGCGGACCTGCACATCTTTGTCCTGCTGATAAATTAACATTTTTGTCTCTGGGTTTCTACTGGAAACAGCATGAAGAGGTGAAGAAGTACAGACTTGACTTCTGCCTTCAGGTTTGGAAGAACCATTCTCCTGTCCGCTCCTGGTTAGGGAAGGAGTACAGTCCAGCTGAGGAGCACCTACTGCTTCACTGGAAATTCTCTGAACATGTTCAGCCATCTTATTTCTCCTATTAAGAACCTCTCCCACCTTCTGTTCGCCTTTGGGTTCTGCCCCAGAATGACGTCGGTTTTTAATACATTTTAACTTGTCCACCTGCCCCTTACGGCGCTGCTCCCTGCGCTCCTGCACCCTCAGCACCTCAGGGTTGGTCTGCTGCAGTCGGAGCCGGAGTGTGTTAGTCAGACCATACACCAGTGTCCTCTTTGGAGGTGACTGCTTCGGGGGCTTGGCAGGCTCTGAACGCTGTTCTGTCCTCCTTGTTTTCTGAGTGGAAGAGGATGGAAAGGCTTCAGAGCACACCAGGCATGTGCTGTGCCTAGCACTGGGACCACGTGACATCTTGCCTCCCAGCGTAGGTGATGCACTGGCATTGGGGGCCCTTGGCCTGCACCCCTCATCTGCAGCAGCACCACAAGGTCGGTCAGCAGACGGTTGGCACAGCCTGGCCAGTGGCTGGATGGGGATGGCTATCTGCTGCTGGGTCTGAATGTATAACTGAGAGAGTTCTGCCAGAAGCGTGTTCAGTAACGGCATTTGTCTTAAAGCATCTCCAAGTGCTGCTGTTGCAACAGTAGTCTGCTGAGCTAATGTGCTGTTTGTGGATTTTCCCTTTGAATGACATGCCACGCTCTGTGCATGGTTACCCTTTTCATGCTCTTGAATTTCATCTTCAGAAGAACTGTTCTCAGCCGCAAGAACTTCCATTCCGAAGTTTCCTGACTGGTATCCATTAGAATTGCGTTCCTTTTGTACTGTTTCTGAACGGCTATAATACAGTGGTGGAGGACAAAAAATATCGGGATTCATTTCATTTTCAAAGGTGTTTTGATTATAATGATGGTTAACAAGCTTTGTTTTCTTTTTTGTATGTTCAGTTTGTGTCCCGGTTGATTTAGCGCAGCCAGTTTTTGACTTTGCGTCCGATACGATGAGGTCGATCAATTTCCCTTCTATTTCAGCTTTTGGGCTAAGTACTGAATATTCATTAACTTGTGGTTTAATCGCTGCAGGATCGCCTTCACTATTTACCTTGGTATCAACCGCATCTGAAAATAAGCTGCGTGTAGGTGTCCTTTGCGCAGAACTTACTTTATAAATCCTGCTCTCGGGAATGTGGGGTATCAAACTCGCCCCCAGGCTTAAAAGCTTATATCCTAACGAAATATAACCTATTTTGTCTCCCATTAGATTGCAAATTGCAAACAGACTGCGCTCTCCGTGAGCCGACGGGGTGCAGATACCATTCTCGTTAACGTCCGCTTTGATCCTGTCTGTCAGTTTATCTAAAGGGATTAAAGATCCTCCTACAAATTTAGAAACATTACTTCGTAGATCTAAGACCATTACGTAGAGAGGCGTGTTGGATAGATGCATATGAAGTGTATCAAGGCGTATTTTGAACAAGCATGACTTGCCCCTTTGAAAACTATACTCAGAGCTTGCAGAATGAGGTTGATGCAGACCGTCGGACGCTGATATGTTTTCCTTTTCACTGTCGGAGTCGTCTTGGGACACGGATTCCTCAATATCTTTCGGATAAACGAGTAAAGTTGGGAAATCTAGAAGCTGCACCCCTACCGCAGGCTTCAGCTTCAGTTTGTCGATCCGTATGAAGTCCACCATCAACTCGAAGGAAAACAAGGTTTCCAGCGAATCAGCCATTTCAAGAGATCTGACTTAAAAGTTAATAAAACGCAAACTAGTTATATGAACACTTCGGAAATCTAAAATCAATAAATCACATTTGACCAGTGTAAATTCCGACTTGTGTGATTCATCTTATTGTTTAATAAACGATATTTCGATTAATAAAAATCAGACGAACACCCTAGCAACAAGAGCCGCTGCGTCGCGTGTTTAACTCGCAACCTACGCGCGCCTTAAGGCCATCATCGGAATTCTGGGAATTGCAGTTTAGGGATTAGTTTCAGATATTCACAACTGTGGAACTCTTGTAAGCAAGGACATGGTTCAGCATTGGAACATGGGGGGGGAGATCTCCACCCATTTAGGGGAGTCCAGGGGGTTGTATTGGCTGGTCATTACGGGGGGGTTACACCCCCCATAATTTACGTCCATGCTTGTAAGTGTACCTGAAATTCTACGACAAGAGATATTTCACTACATGTATGTGAAATAGGGAAATATCTATCAATATAATATTGACCGATAGAGACGACTTCACTAGATTCTACGCTAAATTATTGAAGTCATGCCTCACACTGATACGAAGTTGTCTACTGCAGTTTATGCACATGTGAACAAGATCTATATTTAGACCGTGTCTTGGGCCAAGTTGATAAATTTAACTTTTTGTTGAGAATAGCGATGCAGTTTTACTTGTATGTGTTCCCTTCGGTGTTTCCAGTGCTCTGACCGTTTATTTTTTAATGAATACTGTTTTGCAAAGTAAAATAAAGGTATTAATGACATATAAATGATCTGGACACAAGAATATTTTGTGGTATTTTTGTAAGAACATGATATACTTTTTGTCGCTCAGCTTTTATTGTGTCTTTATCCTTATTAGGATCAATGCATGTTACCTGTGGAAGGAAAAGTCTAAACATCGTTTTTATAATACATTAATTCAATGACTTGATTTCCATGCAAGAAATTTAAGGCATACAGACTATTCTTGTGAACCATGCTTCCAGTGCTTCCAGAATTCCTATTTATTCAGCTATGCGCGAGCGAGCTGAGCACTGTCTGCAGCTGCAGAAGCTTAAAAACGGTTTGCGGGACCGCCGGAGGAGGAGTCGGGGGCGGGGAATCTCGGATCCCTCCAGCGAATCGATGCGAGCCATGGGCGGGGCTCCAGTTCGACTCCGCTGTCAGCTCGGCTGTAGGAACAAGCTTGGGATTGCGGGGTCGCAGCCGCGGCGGCTGGCTGGCCGGCAATGTTGAGTGTTGTGGAAGAGAGACAGAAACAGTGACAGATTTACAAAGACTCCCACTAGCAAGGATAGTGAAAACCAAACAAATAGAAGATTATATTTGTTTACTGGAAAATATGGGATTTTCCATGGCTGTATTGCGAGGTAAGTTTATAAATGCGGGTTTTGATTCGGGCTTTATGTGGTCAGATGGACACTAGAAAGTTTTGGGCTGTCGAACCGTTGATGCCAAAGTTTTGTTGCGCCCTTTGTCAGCTACCTGAATGTCAAAGTGGCACAAAACGGATTAATTACTTTAAAAAATAAAGGTTATGCCATTGTTGCAACTTAGAAGCGATACAGTAAATTGAAAAAAAAGCGGAATTTGTGTATCTCTAAAGGGAAATGATTTGAGATGATAGTTCTTTATTTACAGTCCTTAAAAACGAAACAGATAATAAACGGCAGCTAATACTTTGGTTTGCGAATTTATAGCCTAATATATGCCAACCAATTATGTTTGATTTACGGACTGATTTACGGAGGTTGTTAAAACAACTAAGCATTTAATTACATTAATTTAATTACATTCTGAGACTCTAAGTAACAGCAGTATGTATTTAATTAAACTGGATGAGTAAACAGTTGCTTTCGATACTTATTCATTATGGGAAATGTGAATGGATTACAAAGCTACCTAATAATGACTTTGAAGCTACTTTGACATCTACAACAATTAGACCAGTTAGGCTGAAGGTTTTCACCCTATGTAAGGATTTGCTACAAGTCATCTTTAAGACTTTTACAGAAATGTTTTGTTAACAGACGGACCACAGTCGATTTGATCCTTTAAATCGGTCTTCAAGAGTAAAGACGTTTTGAAACTGCAATTCTCACATCTCACTTGCAGTTAAACAGTACTGTGTATACATATATACATCCCCGTTTCCGTGAAACTGACTTGTAGCAAGCTATTGTGTGTCAGATGAACCGCCGATAGAGGGCTTCCTTATCTCACACCAACAAAAAGATATTTGCAAATTTACCTGAAAAAAAACACAGGACTTGCATTGTTATCTTTATATAATTTTCATTCAGACAAATCCAAGGGGACACAAGGATTTTGCATAACTTCTTCACATACAAAATACTGACAACGTTCTATTCCATTAAATGATTATGGTCTAATTTGTTTGAGCTACTCGGTTTACTAATGCGCTTTTGTGTGCAGCCGCTTGTTTCCATTTTTGATTTATAAAATACTTAGACAGCTTGCAGAATTTTAGTTATTTTTTAAAACATGGACCGTACACCTGCCACCAAGCGCGATTGTCCAGACATTGCTTACTGGGATGCACTGTCATTTTGCCTTTTAGGATGTTAGGAAATCTATGTCCTCTAGAGGGCGCACCTTTTCTCACACCAGCTGCTGTATGACTGAGGTCGGCTGCAATGCTGTGCCGTGTTTATTCTTTATCAACATATTGCAATCACAAGGCGTGTAAAGTAATCAGCAGTTTTTAAATGTTGTCGTGCGTTCTGTCTGGTGGGCATGTAAATGGCTACACCCGTCAAAGCTGCTAGACCTATTTCGTTCAAACCGTTATTGTGCATTGTATAGAAATAATGCAACTTTGCTGAAAACCTTATCTGGTTGCTGAATTAATCTGAGGAAAAGAAATAATATAACTGAATTTTTAACACGTTGCATGAGGTTCGAAAATGTGCTTTTAAAACATTTACAGGTATCTCGACAAAGATTGCTCGATTGCACTAACCGGTCTATATATATGGAGGAAACTATAGAGTCTGTAGGACGAAACTGATGATCTGTATTGACGTGGGGGACTTTTTCTTTTCTAGGGATATTTTATATTTGCTAGTATTTTTCTTACTGGACACGTTCGTGCCAAATAAAATTGGTTATTGGTCCGTTTGAAAACTGGACGTGAATACGCTTTAACGCCGCGGAAATACAGGACAGCGTTTCGGGACGGCAGACAACCAGAGAAATTAAACCCCCCCGAAAATGCAAATTAAATATGAATGAATCGTATCGTCGATCAAGGGGTCAGGATGTCTTTCTGTGGCATGCATAAAATATGAAATGACCTCGTGCGACACGAATTTAAATATCTCCACGAGGTCTGGAGCCTAGATGCAAACTTCTGAATATTTTTCGATATGGTTTAGGCCTAGTAGAGAATCCGTAAACACGTTTCAACTGACAGACAGATGTTGCTATGGGACAGTCGAACAATATGCATGTCCTTATAAGTCATAATGCGGTGGTATACTTGACATGCATGTATTTTTAATTACCTAAAGGATACTGGAAATGGTGAAATCTGTGGATTGTAGATTGAATTGTTGGGGGGGTTCCAAGTGTAGTGTAAAGTTTTAATAGGAGTTCTGCAGCCCTGGAAGTATCAGTCTAGACCCTGGTGCTTTTCATTGTGGGCAAGATGAGGAGCTTGGTGCCTACAGATGCTTACAGAGGTTATCCGCAGGTTAGACACCACTGAGGTCTGTGAGATGTGGCAGAGTGGGGGGGGATGGCATCAGGCGGGTAACGTTTGACTTATTTGGAGGAGAACGCGTGTGACCGCTAGAAGGTCGAGTGGGTCCAAGGGGAGATTCCCAAAGGCCGCGTGTGACCAGCCTGGCCCACTTCATGCCAAATCAGTCTGGCATTACGGGGACAGAAGCAGGGGGGGCAGCCTTGTTAGCATCACCAAGCCCCTCCCTCAAGGGGTCGCTCCCAGATGGACGCGAGATTGGCGACGCGGTGAACTTACCACCACATCTGTTATCGTCGTGGCAGATGACAGGACTGGACTGTTTGTGTGAATCGCCGGTGACCCAGGAGGGTGCGACAGGGAACAAGAAACCACAGGATGCGGGGATATGAGAGGGGGGGCTGATTATGTTTGTCCCACCTCCCCCTTGCCGCTTTGACGAGGTCGTGTTCATTCTGCAGGTGTCCCTGTCACAGTAGCCTGCAACATCACATGTTCTAAACATCTCATCTTACTGGTTTCTTCTTCTTTCTTCCACTGCCAAAGTTATCTACTGGGACAATGCTTTTTTCACCACAGTGCTGGATTTTCATTCCTTTCCCAGCACCCTGTTCCTTAAATCAAACATTTGTGTGGGGGCCCCCTGTTGGCCATAAACAGTCACTACTTGTTTGGGCCTGCATTTTTGATCGCCTTCGTCGGGATACACGGTCCCAGAATGATGCATGGATTTCCCAAAGAGCGTTATACTAACTTAGAGCAGGGATTGTGGTGACACAACTGACTAGGACGGCTGGTGATTTATTTTTTAATCAATCTGTTGCTGCGCCTCTCGGCGGCTGGGCCAAGGCTGCGGCCCCCAGCGTGCCCAGCCCCCCCAGCACACACAGCGCCCCCAGTGCACACAGCACGCACAGCGGACCGCGTCTCGTTCCATTGTTGTGTGCCCTGCGCTTCCCGCTTCCTCGCCGCGGCTCCGGTTTCCCCCAGGAGGGCGAGCGGATGGAACACGACCGGCGTTTCTGCCCTTGGAGCGGCCAGCGTGTTAATGGCTACTGAAGGAAACCGGGGAGATGTTTGCCTATTAGAAATAATGGGGGCGGAAATCGAAACCTCCGTGTTGTGTATCTCAGAACAATGCGGAGATAAGGGCCCGCGTGTAGAAATTCCATGCCTTCATTGTTCTGAGGCAAAACAAGAAGTTGAGCTTCATACACTTCAAGTATAAAACAGTTTTAAGGTCACCTTTTATGATATGCTTCTTGTACTGTATGAACTTATCTGATTTGCAGTAAATGCATGGCAATTGAGATGTCCTGTTTTTTGTTTGTGCTGCAGCATTCATATTAAAATCATGCCAGACTGATGGCTCCAGCACCAGCCATGTCATTGTATACCTGCTTGTGTCAGATTTATGCTAATTTTATTGGGGTTGGCTTGGAGCATGACCGGCGGATCTGACAGGTGTGGGACAGTGGGACCCCCTTTGGGGGGGGGGGGGAGTTCTCATCTGAAGGGGTTTGCCAAGATGACAGTTGGCATCTTGTTGGTATTCAAAAATGGTGGGTTGAAGTATTATGGCATGGTCCCAACGGGAGGCGCAGCCGAGACCGTCGTGGGTATTGCAGCCATTGGGACACTGGACTCATAATATGGAAGAGGGGCTCAAATTATATTTGGGGGGGGGGGCACTCTGTGAGTGGGGTAAGTTGAAGTAAGGCTTTGGTGGCATTGTGAGGTGTTGGAAGTTCTCGGTTTGCTGCAGTAATAATAATCCATCCTCCTGGATTATTATCCATGTCCCTCATGGGGAAATTCTTTTTACGCCTCCCTCAACTTGCTGTTTGTGGAGCATGTTGTCTGTGCAGGGCAGCCACCTGTAGCAGCGCCCAGGGAGCTGGGGGTTAAGGGCCTTGCTCAAGGACCCACAGACATGCTGAGGCTGGGTTTGAACCTGCGACCTTGTGATTACAGGCACACAGGCTTAGCCCACTGAGCCACACGCTGCCCCCATGCTACCCACACGCTGTTCTGTTCACACAGTAGCCTGTGTGAACAGAACAGCGCCCCCTGTTGCATCCATGAGGAAGACTGATTGTGTGTAAAGTGTCAGTTGCATTGGTTTGCATGTCTCCTGCTGGAGTGGACTTCTTTTCAGAGCTGCTTGGGTGGGGTAGTGGTTGGGGGGGGTAGGGAGGGTTGCTGGCAGGTAAAGCAGGCTGTGCCCACACAGTGTAAACACAGCCAGTAATGCCAGTGCTCTCAGTTATGGGAGCGAGAAGCAGATGAGGCTCCCTGACCAGTCTGGTTCCCAGTGAGCAGCATTGGTGGAGAAGCAGTGGAGGAAATGGGGTGATTTAACACAGGAGCCAATTAGCAAGCAGCTACACTGAGGTTATGATACGCTGATCCCTGCATCGGATGCACAGCGGTAACAGCGGCAGCCTCCTCGCCCGATGCCTCTTCCGGGGCTTCCGAGATGAGCTGGCTTGTTTCTGCAAACGACGCGAATCGTCCCGCGCCCTCAGACACGGTCTCCTGTCGCCGGGGAAACCGGCGCGAAGCGGCTTTGAAAAGCAGACGGCTGTCTGGCGCTCCTCTGACGGGCGGTGTGACAGCCAGGGAACTATTCAGCCCTCATATTTG